GAAGCCGGCAGTTGCGCGGCCACTTAAGAACTTCCAAACATTTATGGAACCAGAAGGTCCATTACCGTGTTCACAGAAGCTTTCCACTGGTCCCTGACCTGAACCAGATCGCTTTATCCAAAGAATCTGTCCAAGTCCGAAGGCCTTTGTAATATTTCGTAACATTTATTTTTAATGGTGAGGAATTGTTCACCCACACCGCGGACAACTTTCTAGCTGGAGGACAGCCGCTTTTCGGCTGTCCGCAACTGCTTATTTCGGTATATTCGCAGCTATCCTCCATATCTGAAGAGCGGGGATAGTGCAGTCGGTGTAGCTACTAGCTACGGCCTAGACCAAGGGGTCGGAGTTCGAGTCCCAGTGGGGGCAAGAATTTGTACTGCTTCATGTCGTCCAGACCGGCTCTGGGTTCCACCTAACCTTCTATCCAATGGATACCGGGGCTCTTTCCTGGTAGTACAGCGGCCGGGGCGTAAAGCTGACCACTCACCTCCAACTAGTGTCGAGGCCAAGAAAACGTGGGTCTGTACATCCACTCCCCCATGCGTCTTCATGACGTAGTGCTTAATTAGTTAAGCACAGAGACAGCTTTACCTTTACCTTTCACCCTCTTTATCTGGAGGCCGTCTCGGTAACAGGGGATCCACTTAGCATGGAATTGATGCGAAAACAGTTTCCAGTGGTACAATAGTTTGTTTTTTTCCGAGCTTGGGTAGAATATATATATAATGCACACGCGTAAAAAGAAGATTAGTGCCAGAAGAAGACGTGCTCCTTGCGTTGGGAGACAGAAGAAGTTTGTTGCCGTATTATTGACACCGGGCCAGCCAACGGTACAGTGAATGACCGAGCCCTCGAAGTTCAACCGGGACTTGAACAGGAATTTGGCGCGGCGGTATACACCTGCGCGCCGCCGACTGACCGACCTGCGTTCGCCTACGCGGAACCAACTGCACTGCGACGTCTGCGCAATAGGAACACATTGTGATCCGTGCTGTGGTCAACAGCGTCAACAGAACGTAGGGAAAGTCTGTGCGGCAGGTTGAACACCGGACGTTGGTACTTGCGGCGTCTTAAGTTTCTGACGGCGGTGCATATGAAGAGTATAACTGAAACTTTACGCTATGTAGTCTGGTGGATAGTTACCGACGTTTCGGAAAAACATGCTGCCTGCATCATCACATCCAAGAAGACGGTAAGCTACGTTGATTCTTGCTATTAAAAATACGCACGATATATTGATAGGAGAGTAGTTGAGAGGGATCGATTTTCTCAGCAGGTTGACATAGAGGCGACGCTCTGGACGTGTATTCGAGAGGTGTTCGATTCCAGTGAGACCGCGCCATTTGCTGTTCTGACAGGATTTTAGAGGTTTTCTTCAATCTCTCTCCTAACAAATGCAGGGAGACTATGTCGCGTCATGACCGCGTGCTTCTGAATTCTAATTCAGTATTCACCAGTCGTCGTACCATTCGACGCTGTATAGTGTCAGATACTGACGGCGTCGTAAAATGGCCAGCGGAGACAGAACTGTGGTGTATAGACCCATTCTTAAGCGAAAACTGTAGACAGCGGCCGTTGCTAGGTAACGCCCGAAACATACAACATTAGAAGAACTGTATTTTCTGTGTGGTCCGTGCTGAGATGTTATAAGCGATTAACAGGGTCGGTTGAGGGTCAGTTCTATATGGGAGTCTGAAAGAGAGGGCTTGAGTGCGTGAAGCTGAAGAATCTCCACTCTTAGAAGCTGTTGCCAGCGAACGGCTGGTGAAGACAGCAGGCTGGAAAATGCTTAGCGGATGCTGTGGTGATTTGAGAATTATGGAGATTGGCGGTGGCTCTGTAATTGCTTGTAGTTCCGACTCGTTTGTCAATAAATCCATTCACCAATCCAACCCCCTTCTGTAGTCACACATACTCGTATACCTGACAGGACGGCGAGAGCCGCTGGCTTGCTCAGACTGGATGTGGTGCGTTGTAAGGCCGGTCCAGGGTAGATGTGGCACTCGGTGTGTCGCGAACCTACGGCATTTTATGGAACCGTGAGGTTCGTGACCGTGTTCACAAGAGTCAGTGGCTACTCCCTGCCATGAGCTGCGCATTAATAGCTTATAAAGGCCTTTGTGCGGTTTACCGAAACTGCTTTGACGGAAGGGGCATGGAGAGGAGTTGAAGTAGTTAGGAAAGCAATACGGGATGAAGGAAGGAAAGATAAAAGATAGTAAATAAGGTGAGTGATGAAATCCCGGGGTAATAATATTTTTGTCCCAAAAGACCAGTTCTAACGTACCTAGAGGTCACGATCAGATGATCAGGTTGATTGGATATTAGTTTCTGTTTCTTTCGGACAAAAGTCAGTTACTCTGACTGGATATTAGTTTCTGTTTCTTTCGGACCAAAGTCAGTTTCTCTGATTGGATATTAGTTTCTGTTTTTTTCGGACCAAAGTCAGTTTCTTTGATTGGATATTAGTTTCTGTTTCTTTCGGACCAAAGTCAGTTTCTTATAACTTCTCTTCCTTTCTCCTCTTTAGTACGTTCTTAACCTCCCTCCTTTGTTTTCTGACAGTCTCTTGCTATCCATCTCCTTTTCTCGCCATCTTCTTTCCTTCTTTACTTTTGCCTTCCTCCTGTATTGTCGCATATTTGTCTTAGCCTACTAATGTTTCCGTCTCTCCTTGTCTGTTCATCTGCACAGTTTGAAGGGCTTGGTGCAAGAACCGGTGAGACACCAAATTTTCGAAAAATGGGTTGTATGTTGAATTTTGGATATTGATGGCATGGCTTTTGTGTTATAACGTCATGCAGTTCGGAGACATTCCGACGTTTCGGAGGAACATGCACCTGCCTCTGTAGGTCGAATAGTGAGCCAAGCAGGAAACCTAGAGAAGGAGGCGGAAAGCCTAGCTTTACTGTTTCTGCCGTAGCGTTCAGTCACCATTTTGTCTCCGGCGTCCCATGCAGTACTTCTGTGCTGCGTTGGATGGGCGAAATGTAGTGTTGTGCGGCCGATTGGGGCCCGCTGTTACAGAGGCTTCTGCTGTTTTCCCATCGTAAATACAATGACGAGTTGCGACAGATGGCGTCTTGTTTTTTGTGCCGCCCACTCGCCTACACGGCTGCGTGGGAACTGATTATCATGTTACTGCTGCCGGGTTTCGAGCCCACTCCAGTCCTTCGGAGAGAACGTGGCCCGTCCGGCTGTCGCGCTGTGCTGGAGACGAAATGTGAATGTGGGTGTTTCGACCTTTATACTTCTACATTCATGTCGTTACATGTGAGTGTACACTAGACCGTGCGGAGTAGATTGGTGGTTTAGGACCTTGTCCACACTTGAGCATCCTGCCTCGACGTGGCAGTGTAACGTAACACGAACGCTCAAGTGAAGACGGGTGTTACTGTAAAGTCTTGTCCACACTTGAGCATCCTGCCTCGACGTGGCAGTGTAACGTAACACGAACGCTCAAGTGTAGACCCCTTTCGAATTCTCCATTCCGACGCTATAGCGTCTCCTGACGGCGCCATGAAACAAAGTAAATCGGACGAGTCGGGGAGTGCACGCGTGACGTAACAGTTGTGACGCTTTCACTTTGTTTCCCAGTAACACAGCTTACCGTAGCCGCGAAATTGGGAGTCTATTCAGCAGTTATTTTTATTAGAATCGGGGTTAGATTTCCGGCAGGGGCCAGAGACGGACTTTGGGGCCCACCCACCCTCGGCAGGGGCCAGAGACGGACTTTGGGGCCCACCCACCCTCATGCAGTGTGTACTAGCGGCCGGAGCGTGAAGCTGGCCGCTCAGTTCCATCTGGTTCTGAGGCCCTCCAGCGTCTTCAAAGTGTGGTGCGTAATTATGTAAACCGGCTTAACGGAGAAGCTGATTGTAGTAGGGAAAGCGGAGAGTGCAGTGCGATAGACAAGATAGCTGGCGGGCAGATAGTGACTGATGACGTCACGTCAGTGTCACAGTGCGCTGGGCTGCATGTCAGGGGGTCGCAGTCCGACTTCTGCTCTGGGTCGCGCTGTTTGTGCTTCCTGTACTGTCAATGCCTGTGGACATGGTGAGCCTCTCTTATTGTGAATATACTTCGCATATGTTCCATGGTGAGTCGTGGCACGTAATCGGTTCATATCGTTATCACGTTCCTGCTACGAGAAACCGTCTCCTGAACAGTATTTCAGTAAGCACAACTGTTCGTTCAGGAGACAGGAAGTTCAGCAGTCAGGTAAGGTAGTTAAAGGTGAAGTTATCCCTGTAACTGGCCGTGGAGGTCTATAGGGTTGTGAGGTGTCGAGGCTTCTACATTTTCTAGACAATCGGCTCACAGTTGGCGGTGAGGTTGTCAGCCTTACACGCCGGCCACCCTACACTCGTTTACCCCGAGGAAGATTCCTGGTACTCATTTCTGTTGGAGGCTGAGTCGACTTCAGGGCCATAGTGCGGCTCGAAGGAACAGGCCGATTGAAAAATCCAGCGACATCGGTAATCGAACCCGCGACTTTCCGGCTTGTAGCATAGTGCTTCAACCAACTACGCTACCGCGTGCCCCTCAATTACTAGGAGCTTCATAATTTGTACTACTATCCAAATATTATTAGAATGTTGAATTCAAGCGGGATGCGTTTGGCAGTGCATGTAACACGCCTCTGAGAGGCGTGCGTGTAAAGTTTTGGTGGGAAAAGGAAGGAAAGAGACCACTGGAAAGGCCTGGGATTACATGAGAATATGATATTAAAATGGATCTTAAAGGAATGGGATGGGAGTGTGAATTCGTCCTGTTGAGGATTGCAATCAGTGACGCGCTCGTGCGAAAGCGCCTTTGAACTTTCGGCTTCGTTGAGACACTGCGGTTATTTTAGTGACTGTTAGCTTACAAAGGACTCTGTTCCATGCAGTTTGTTAAGGACCATGACGCAACTGGGTGAAGAACATAAATTACGAAATTTTTACATAGGTAACTGTACGTTTCTCGGAGATCGCTGAAATGTTCTTTTGTTCCAGCACAGGGCAATGCGAGCCGCGTCCTCGGCGCGTCTGAAGGCGTCCACGTCCAGCAGCAGCAGCACACTGACGGCTAGGGCTGCCTCCAGGCCCTCCGCACCACCCTCCAGGTAACGTCCTGTTCACTTCTTCGTTTTACAAGTTAACGAACGCTAATGTAGACATCACATGCGTTGCGATGGCTAACATTTGATTGTCGATGTTTGTAAACCTGTGTTTAAACCGCTTAGGGCGATTTTTACTGATCGTCTCTAGAGTAAAACGTTCCCAGCCTGGGAAGCATGGGGCTATGAGAAGGCATCAACTTTGAATGCCAAGTGAGGCTGAAATAATTGTTTTTACCCACGTGTAATCGTCTCTTCCATAAGCAACCGCCATAATTGTTAATCCAGATATTAAGCAAGAAGTCATCCATTACCGCCAACATTCATCGCCGAATGAATAACGCCGTGAATTATTTCCATTCTACAAATTTGAATATTTTCTCGCGGTTTTCGTGTTGTGCTGATTGCAACTCAGTTGATCGCAGTGCTGTAAGTGCGACTGTAAATGGTTTCGTTTAGTTAAATAAAGAAATGGAGGTGAGGGTTTGAGGGTTTCACGAGATCCGAAAACGATCGCGTCGTGACAGAAAGTTTGGGAACCAACGCCCTTGAATATTCGGGATAGAAGTATAACTTCTTTTAAATATAACAATTTTGGTTTTAGTATTTGGTAAATTCCCCCCCCCCTTTTTTTAATTTTTTTTTGAGAGGGGGTAGTTGGTTGGCTCCTCCCTCCATCTGCTGGCGCCCATTTGCCCGCATAACAGCAAGGTGTCCCTGCGTGTCAAGCATACAGCCTCTCTACGCACAGGTCGTGTTCTGCGTCAGAACAAGCATGGCAAGAAGCTATTCCAGTTCAAGTTACGATGCTTAGTTGAGCAGGGGGCAAATTTACTTGGACTCTTCTTTACGGGTTCTCTCAGCGTCTGCTAATTGCCTTTGTCATTATTCAGACCGTGACAAGCAGTTACGGGACAGCGATTGACTAGAAAGTCCGTACCATCTGATAGGCGCAGCTTATCAGCCAGCTTGGGCGACGTGGAGTGTCACTCCATCAGATAACATTCCCATACAGGGTTATCCCCTCAGAGGAGGCCCCGAATTGTAATTACAAATCACGTAGCAGTTTACCGATGGAAACGAAGTGGAGATAACTGGGTTACAGGAAATGATCAGATCTGTTTCCCTTCGCCTGGAGGCGCAGGTCGTCATGACGCCCTGTGTTCCCGGGCAGGAGGGATTCCGGCAATTTCAGAAAGGGAAGGCAGGCACCTGGTTAGTATTAACTCTGGACGTCGTGTAAGTGTAAGTGAATCTTATGAGCGTCGCGGCTGAACCCAAGCTGCACCTCGGCGCTACATGGGAGTGGCCGCTTTGGGCCTCACTCCCAAGGGAGGAGTCCCCGATGCTTATTGATCAGGTGGTTGAGTGGGTTCGAGAGCACGTGTGCAGCTCTCTGCCCCTACCGGAAATCGAACCACGATTCCCCAGTCGCCTGGCGACTATACTAATATAGGTACCTCGGCTCTAAGGAAGTGGTGGTGGCCTATTGTAAATGACTATGGTAGAAAAGGGACCGCCTCTGTGGTCTAGTGGTCAGAGTTCCTGCTTACAGATCCAGAGGTCCCCGGGTTCGATTCCCGGCGCTACCAGTTTTTCTGAGAAGTAGTGTGTCTGGAACGTTGTACCCTCAGCTTCGTGAGGATAATTGAGGAGCTGTTTCAAGGAAATAGCGGCTCCGTTCTAGAAACCCGAAATTAACGGCCGTGGGGATTCGTTGCACTGACCACACGGCACCCTCTATCCGCTAAATTTGGCACTGACTACACCGACAAGCGGCGGTCGCTCGGTCAGTATAGTTCGCTTGCGGACTCAAGCCACGTTGTAAAGTTGACCTGTGCGTAACTAATTCAGCACTACCCCATAAAGGCGCATGGAGAGTGGATGTATGGATCCACCTTTTCTGGACCTCGACAGTAGTTGGAGGTGAGTGGTCAGCTTCACGCCCCGGCTGCTTTACCCCCGAGGAAGGACCCCCGGTACCCATTGTATAGGAATTTGGTGGACCCCATAGCCTGTTTAGACATGAAGAAGTGAAAATTCTTGCGTCACCGGGACTCAAACTCCGACTCCTCCGTCCTCCAGCCCCTCCCTAGCTGTGTTGGTTGAACGAGTACCGTCAGCCGCCCTGAGAACCCCAGCGCGAGCTTGCCACACGGCGGGACGTGAAGACGTGAGCGAGTCTGCTCCCGGCGCGTCAAATGTTTGGGGCGGGGTGAAATTGTGGGGAAAACTGAATACTGTAAGCCCACTAAGACTTAAGGATCTGGAGATAATTGAGCACAAGGAAGTGAAACCAACCGGAAATGTTACACCATGCCTACAGTTCCTGACATGCGCGGTTGCCGGCGAGTGAGAAGAGCAAGGCACTGCACTGCACTTCCCTTCCCATGCTTCGCTAAAGTAGGCTTAGTGTGTCTGTCCGTGTATTCCCCCCAGCAGTTTTTGAATGCCTGAACCACTATTTATTAAATTCGGTATGTACATCATGACACTTGAGCCCATCTCAGCGGCGTACTTCATAAATCCCTCCCATCAGTCTGTGTGTGCATGTGTGTCCCTCTTATCGATGCCAAGCAACGGGTCGGTAAACACGTTCCCGCTCAACGAATACATGCAAACAGCAGAAGACTTGTTCTGTGCGGTCCGTGTCTTATCCAAGGAGAGTCTGTGGTCTGTCTGCGTATCCCCCTATCGTTACTAGGTAATAACTCGTTGAAGACGTTCCCGCGGCAACGAAGAATTGTTGTAGGCTTTGTTTTCTGTGCGGTCCGTGTCGTATCAAAGGAAAATAGGAGATTAACTATTCCCAGAACTTCTTGTTTTAAATTATAATAAAATCAAAATTTGCAGGAGAAAGAAGTGTACCGTATATTAATAAAAAAAGTAAGTAAGTAAAGCTATCCCTGTACCAGGCCGTGAAGGCGCATAGGGTTGTGAGACGTTGAGGGTCCCACACTACTCGTATCCAGACAATCGGCTGAAAGATGGCGGTAAGGTAGTCAGCCTTACGCGCCGGCCGCGCCTTACTTCCCAGGAAAATTATGTAATTAATTCCTGGAATGGATCTTAGAGAGATAGGATGGGATGGTATGTATTGGATAGATCTGGCTCAGGATGGGGACCAGTGGAGTGCTCTTGTGAACACGGTGATGAACCTTCGGGTTCCATAAAATGCTGGGAAATTCTTGAGTAGCTGCAGAATTGGCGGCTTCTCAAGAAGGGCTCAGCTCCATGAGTAAGTAAGTAAGTACTCATTTCTGTTAGAAGCTGAGTAAACCCCAGGGCCTAGTGCGGCTGGATTAGGTCAACTGAAAAAATCCAATGACCTCATAAATTATTTTTGAAGAATCTGTACTCCCATCTTGAATATTATACGGTGACAAGAATAGTAGTGTTAATCAGCGTGGATGTTGTGGCTTCCCCGCCTTGGGAGAGCTGCCTCCCTGCGTCTGCAAGAGACTCCTGTCGGTGGCGCCGTGTGTAATGTACTGAAGAGGTACGCAGGCCAGACAAGCGAACTCCAATAACGAGTATGTCTTTAGGCGAAGAGTTCAGTCTTCTGGGATATAACACCGTGTAGTCCGTTGAAAGTCAACCGACGTTTCGGAGGAACATGTCGCCTCCATCTTCAGGGCAGGCAGCTTCAGTTGACTTTCCGCGGGCTACACGGCCTCGCATCCCAGAAGTCCTCATAACTACCGCTGTGGTAGTCGAAAATCCTGCTTGTTGTCAAACGTACGTATGTTTTTGTCGATAAAGTGATCATTCGGTAATCAGCTGAAACAGATATCTCGTGGAGCGATGGCTGAACGATACTGTAATCTTGCTCCTCTAGTTAAACGTTCCATTCCACGTGTTTCATTGCAGTAACCATGACTACCACCAGTACTTGCAATAAGATGTTGCGATGGCTGAGTCGGTATAGCTCCTAGTCTGTAGGATGGACGGCTGTCGGGTTTCAGTTCACTGGAGAGTCGTCCAGACCGGCTGTGGCGTCCGCCCAGCTCTGTATCCAGTGACTCCCGGGGGCTCGTTCTCTCCGACAATAAAACAGAAAGGGCGTGAGTGACATGCGTGCATTGCCGAGGTTAAGGAATGGTGGAGCTGTGCCTCAACTCTCCCATACGTCATCCTGGCCTGGTGCCTGATTATGCACAGGGACAACTCTACATTTACCACTTCGCACACTAAATCATTTGTCAAAGTCAAAGTCAGTCAGTAAGTCTTGGTGTCGAGCCCCATCTGTGGCTCGTGACTAGATATTTACTGTTTGACAGTTACGATCAAATTTTTTTGTGGGGCGTCCTCTCTGACGAACGGACGGGTCTGTCTTTTTATATACTCTTGCCAGCGCAGTCTTTCTCAGGTCCGAGTCCCTTGGGACTCGCGACCATATTTTACTGTGTCAGATTTGAGACTTCCTTTTCGCTGCCTCCTACGACTCGGAGGGTCACAGTGGAGGTATTCGACCCCGCCTCCACACGCGTGTAAATCGTCTGGTGAAACCTTTCGCCGGCTGCAGGTACACTGAACCTTGCTTATTTGCCAGACCTGCGCGCATGGGTACAGTGGACAGAGCTATATTTAGAATAGTGCTCGAGATGTCGGCGACTTCTGCCATGGAGTCGCGACCCACAGTTTGATATGCTGTGGTCTAGGGCGGTCAGTAAAATGCGAAAAGTAGTCCGGGCGGCGCCCATGGGGAAACATTTACTTTGTATCGTGTAAACAATGTATTTGCTCCGGCCCTGGTTTTGTTTTCGTTTTTGCTCGGAGACCGTGGGCAATTGCGTGACGTTACGGCCATCCCTGGAGGCGGTCACGATGTAGTTACGAAAATTAGCGGCAGATGGCGGCAGCAGGCAACGCATCTGGTAGTAAACGTTCTCCATTTGGTTGCCAGATGTCGCTGTTGCCAGTGGGAGAGGGGACTTGCGTGCAGAGCAGAGATTGCGTTCGACAGATCCCACCCCAAAGTACAGGCTTCTTCAAAAGTTTGTAGT